AGAGACTCATTTATAATAGACTAACAGCTTGTTGATGGTTTGTAAATCATTTAGTAGTTAAGAAATGAGCACATCAGATTGGATACGTAAATTAGTGACGATATACCTGGAAAGTCCAATACATGATGTACCAGTTTGGATTGGTGGTGGTGCCACTGCTATTTATAGTCGCCAACTCATAAGTTTTTGTTTTAGTAAATTCAACTCAACTCATAACTTTTACAACCATTGAGCCCTTTTCCTAAAAAAAAAACTTTTATAACCATTGGACATATAATATATCTTTTTTTCTTCGAAACTATGGAATGTTTTATACTATAAACTTAGTGTGTATTTGGGTCGGAATATCGTGTCACGATAAGATATTGAAACAAAATTTTTGTTCAGTAAAACATACACATTGGACTTAGAGCCTCTCCAAAAAAATAATAAAAAAACATCTCTAAAATGATATTCTATTTTTATGTTTGCCCGACATTTTATATTTGAAGTTTAAATGTGTTTTTTTTACAAAATTAAAGTTTAACTTCAAAAATATTTTTAGTTTATACTATGATGCTTATATTTTATATAATTAATTTAAATCCACACAACATTTATAACTAACTAACACATCTATAAAAATATTATAACAATATTTATTATTAAAATATTACACTAAAATATAAAAAGTTTACATTGAAATACATAATTAAATATTAAAGTACAAGAAAAATACCACAATATTGTTATGCTTTGGACCTCATCCCTCTCACCAACTTTTAATTTTTAAAATAAAATAATAGAATTTTAAAAATTCAATTTATGTCATGCATTGCACCTTATCGTCTCACTGATCTTCATCATTTCTTTCCATTTTTATTTCATGCATTTTATTTTTATTTTTGGAAAATAGTGCAATGAAGCATCATAAATTAATGGGCAATTCTCTCAAATAGCCCTCTTTTAAGTTTTTATCACAAAAATAGACCTCAAAAATTTAAATGACTAAAATAGCACTTTTTATTTTGAAAATTTTAAGTTTTTTTAATTTTGAAACCCTATCCCCAAAACCCCACTCCTCAACTCTAAACAAAAAAGTCTAGGATTAGTTAACCCAAGGCTATAAATATATATTTATATATTATTCTGGTCATTTTAATTGTTAAGCTCTATATTTGTGATAAAAAAAACTTTTTTAGGTCTATTCTAGTCATTTTCTCTAATTTAATCTTAAAACAAGATAATATGATTTAGAATTATTCATGCATTTGACCTCACCATCTCACCAATTTTGAAACTTGAAAATCATATAATAGAATTTAAAAAAAAATTATATCATGCATTGAACCTTACCCTCTCACCAATGGAATTAATTTTGGTTTATTCAATTGAATTATTATTCATCCATTTTTGTTTATAAGTAATAGACTTCAAAAAAAAAAATCACAACTCCATCTTTTTCTTTCTTTCTAAAAACAAAAAAAAAAATTGGAGAAAAGTAGAGGCTCATCATTCAACCAACACCAACAAGAAAATGAGTTATTATGTTGTGTGTATTTAGAAATATCACAAGATCCAGTTGGTAGTGATAACTAATCTCTTGAAAAATTGTGGGAAAATAAGTAAGAATTACAATGAAAAAACTGAAAGTTGGGAAACCTAGAAACACAAGATCTCTACAAAGTAGGATGAATACTATAACATAGAAATTTAAAGAGCTGCATAACACAAGTGAAAAACATGAATCCAAATGGAGCATCCAAATTTGAAATTGTAAGTGTAATTTTTACTCTATATATATATATATATATGAAATTTATTTTGTAACTAACAAAGTTTCATGTTCATTACTTTGTAGATGAAAAACGTTAAGAATTTTTTGCTACATGATCCAAAACTAAAATATGTTTTAAATTTGATTATGTGTAGGTAATGATGAAATATGTCCCAAAGTTTACAAACATCCTATTGGATTGAAGAAATCAAAACTCAAAAGGAGACTACTGAAGGTAATAATTGGGCAGTTGATAATTTGATATCGTGAAACGAACAAATCCTTGATTTTAAAAAAAAAAATAGTGTAACAAACAGGAAAAAAATTTTTATGTGATGTTTGAATTAAGAATGCAAAACAAAGCTAAAAAATTATTTGAAGAAGTAAAAGGGGAAAATAAAATTTTGCTAAAAGACTTAGCTTACATCGATCGCTGATATTAATACTCATGAATACGATCTTAACAAGAAAGAATCGTAGATAAAAGACATCAAGAACAACAACAACCATTTTCGGTTACACAATTTGTTTGGACAATATTTTGGGAATTTTGGAAGTTCCGGATAAAATTTACCCGACTATTAGTATTGTTGTAGTATTTAAAATTGTGTTATAATTATGAATTCATGTAATTTTAAAACTTTATCTGTTAAGTTTTTTTTTTTGTAATATTGTTGTTTTCTAAATCTCATTTAAAATATTTTAAATCGCATTTTGAAATTTTATTTAATTTTCTATGTAAACTTCAATTAATTAAAAATTGAAATATTTATGCAATATAATTTTATGGATTAAAACGATAAACGACAAACTTTTTAATAATCATCAAAATGATTTGTACGTAATTGTGAGGATCAAAAAAGCAAAGAAATATGAAACTTTATATTTGAAGTTATAAATTGTCTTTTGGAAATGCTATCAGTGTAACAAATAGACGATGGTCCAAATTAACTAATTCGTACGAGTCACTAAATATGTGTTTATACTGAAAATTGTAATTTAATTAAAGACGAACAACATATATTATTCTTAAGTATCAATACCTAGAACTTGATACTTAAACCATCTTCTAAAAACAAACGATTTCACACAAATGAAACTCCACGTACAAGATCACACTTATTCATTACTATACTGAAAGCAACTTAATAAGTAGATTTGAGATATTGATGAGCTTGATGGCGATGGTGATGATAATGGTGATGTTGATTAAGCTTTGAGAACGTGGTCCTCCATATCAGCAGCCATTGTCTTGATGAGTTTCATGTAGCTGCTTGGTTCGGGGACTTCATCGTTGCGCTTCTCCCAGATCATAGTGATTTTGCAGATGCAGGTATCTTCAATCTTAGGAGTAAACTGGAAGATAAGGTCACAAACCTTGAACTGCTCCATCGCGTGACCTTCAAGTCCTGTAGTCGTCATAATATTTTTTTCATCATCTATCTCTCTCTTCTCCTTGTATACCTATTGTTTTCCATCTTTACATGCATGTATTTATTAGTTAATTTTGGGCCATATTCACATGCAATGGTGCAATGAATTTTGCAAAAATAAGAATTGTAACTGATCAGTATGTAGTACTACCCAAATTGTAACACATTTAGTTTCAATATAAATCAACTCAGCTCTGTTGTATATACAAAACTAGGGGTTTATCAAAGCTACGAGCAGAATGTGTTGTGTAATTTTATGCTAAAGAATTTTCTTAAATAGAAATGTTAATATGGTAAAATATATCGACGATTGGCTAATGACGTAAATGCTTTTGTTAATAATTATCTTGCTAGTTAAACTCAAATAATGGTTATGGAGATGTGAGATAATGTTTTGGGGATGTGCTTTCCCCTTTCTAGCGGATCAGTTACTGTTTTATGTGTTGTTGTATTGTTGATATTTGCAAATGCATAATAGTTGTGGTAGTGGATTGTATGAGATTAATATGGAAGTTATAGATGTATATATATATATATATATATATATGATTAACTGATCCCAAGACACTACAAGAAATATGAATATTAGCATAAATTCACAAACTGCTATTAAAAGTCTCAAAATCGGATCACAATTCTATCATAGCATTAAATTTGAGCTATCAAAGAATTTCATTAAGCGGTAAAGCAAAAATCACTTTATAACTGTAAAGTTATTGTAGAGCCCAATACTTGCCAATTTTTGGGTTTCCGCCATCGACATCTCTTTTTTTTTTTTTACTTTTTTTTAGTTAAACATCATCGCCCTTATTCCTCACACAGTCACTTATTGAATTGGAACCCTAATCGATCCCACCTCCATGGCAGTGGGTCAAGCGCCAACTCCATACCACAAATTTTGGTTTCATCAATCTCACATCTCCCTTCTGTCACATTTCATCATGAGAATTCCTTGTCTCTCTCTCTCTCTCCCTCTATATTGCTTTGAGTGGCTCTTCATCAAAATCAGAATTATCCTCTTCTTCTGGGTTTCGTCACAGATATCTGAGTTTCGAAGACTGGGTTTGTCTTACCTTTCCCGTTGGTTGAAAAATCAAATGGAATGGGACAGTGATTCCAATCTCAGCTGCGGAGATGAGGTGGCTGATGACGGCTGGTTCGGCGGAGACAGTGGAACGATTCAGATTCCGGCGAGTAGTCTTCCGACGCCGTTTAGGTTTGTTAGCTCTGCGGATTCTCTTTTCTCGAGCTTAAATGGTCGTTCTATGCTTGTAAGCCATTCAATTCTATCTTGTTTTGGTCTCGTGATTTGTTTGTGGAGTTAGGTTTTCAGTTTGTTAGCTCTTTGTTTTCTCTCTTCTTGAGTTTATAGGATACTGCATTTCTTAATGAATTTGTTTGTTCATTGAGTTCTAAAGTTTGTAGCTTTACTGGGGTTTGTTGTGTAGGGGAATGAGTTATACAGAGGATCCAAAGTCCGTTGTCTCTGTGGTGCAGTGTCTTCTTCTGGGTTTCTTGGAGCCAAGTCTGTGGCTTTCAGGCAAGTCCTTATCATCTCTAATCTTTTTATTGTAATGGTCTATGCTTATTCTTATCCCTTTCTAACCATTTTCATCAGGACACATATGTATGGGAGGACGGTGATGATCGCAGTTGATAAAATTCCAGTCTATGATTCTGCAGAAGACGAGCTTACATCTAAGCCTTCTAACTTAGGAGTCCTAAGAATGTCGACCAGATATCTTTTTGTTGCTTGAATTTTCTGTCATTGACTCTGCTCTGTAACATTAGGATCTATTTTGGAGCTTTTAGTGAAGTTTTTTGTGGTCTGCTTATTGCTCTCTATTTAGTTTGTTCAAACCCACAAACGCATGATTGTTTCATGACATGGGTGTTGGAACATCCTAAGATCAGAAACTGTTGAATCCCTCTTCTACCTGTGGTGGTTGACTGGGAACAAGCATATCAAGAGTGAGTATAGAATTTATTTCAAGCATTTGAGAAGAATTCTCGTATAGAATCTGGATATGTAGGATGGAATATATTGTATGTTTTATAAATTTAATGAATATAAAATTATCATTATTTGTATTTTTAATTTATGCGTTGAATGTAAAATTAAAGGATAAAAGTTGATAATTAGATTTTTGTCTAAAAAAGAAAATAAGACCCTAAACACTAAACATGTTTTATACCCTAAATATAAACTTTAAAATTTAATATTTTCATAATATAATTTCAATCTTAAATTGAAATTCAGAATTTAACCATTTTAAATATAATCTCAAATTTAAATTCTAAATCTCAAATACTAAATTTTAAATCTAGACCCTAAATCTAATGCCCTAAACCCCAAACTTAAACCTTTGCATACAAAGTCATAAATCTAATATTTTTAAATTTATAATACAAATTATAAATCCTAACCCTAAACCATGTACTTAAACTCCAAATATATTCTAAAACTTAACCATGTACTTAATTATAATCCTAACCCTAAACCACATTCCTTATATTGAACTATATCATAAAACATCCAATCTTAATTTTAATTTTAGTCAATCACATAATTTCAACATTTACATAAATTTCAGTGTGATACTATATGAAGTTTGGTGTACATCAAACCCTAAACCTCAAAACTTAGCCCAAACTTTATATCATACCCTAACCCTCAAAACTTAACCCTAAACTATAGACATATATATATATATATCATACCCCAAGTTAATTATATACTCTAACCTCTAACTAAAAATCTTAAAGTTAAATATATATATTTTTAATTATAAATTTTAAATTACAATTTATTTTTTTAAGTTAGAGCTGTGTTCTAAAACGCGTCTGACTGGACAATTAATCGTCCGCCTAGGCGGTGGGCGGAGATACACCACCGCGAGTTTGGTCAAATCGTCCAAACTAATCGGATTACCGGTTAAACCACCGATTAATCGCTTAAAACCCGCGTTGAACCAGCGTTGAAACCAATTTGGAACATAATAACTTTGGGCTTTATGTCAAATTTTAAGCCTTATAACAAGCCAATTTGACTGATGTGAAATGCTGAGACTTTGTCCATATATTTATAGGATGATCAGAACCTCTCCCACTTATTTCTAGACGATGTGGGATAAATGTATGTGATTTTTTTTAACTTTTTTCCTTAAGTGGGATAAATGTATGCGCTAAAAATGATAAATGGATATAATGATTTATAATAGAATCGAACCTCTCACCTCTCACCTCTAATGAGGTTAAATGCATAGCAACCCACTAGACCATGATATTCTAACATGTACTTTTCCCTTAAACTAATATATATATTTATAATTAAATAGTTGAAAAACTAATCTCCGATTAATTTCCGATTAATCAGTTAGGCGCTAGTTCCAACCCGAACGTCCGACTAGCGCCTAACGATTTCTTTAACATGGAGTTAGAGCTTCCAAAAATTTAAATAAAACCATTAATTAAGAAGCAAAAAAGTACAAAACAAAAGAAATATCTAGATTAGAAAGAGTCAATTAGAAACAAGTAGGCGGATCACAATCTTGACCATTCATTAAATTGAATCTAAAGGTCCACAATCGTTTTATTCTGATTGGTTCATTTAGAAAAAGGTAGGATCACCGGTTTTTAATTTTGGCCGTTGATGAGTGTTGATCTGAAGGCTGAAATTAATAAATATACTTTAATTATCTTTTTAATTTTTTCTTTTCTTTCCTCTTCTGTCGTCGATACCTCTTCTCTCATTTCTCATCTCTGTTCTAGTCTCTCTTCTCTTCTACTATGCTTCTTCTCCTTTTGTGAGAGTTGATCTTTGAATGATAGCTCGAACATCACCGATGGCACCAGGATTCAAGCCGCTATTTACCGTCAAGTACTTGATGGGTTACAGATCTATGGTTGTTCTTTGGAGTCATTTGGTATGCCAATCTCCTTTAGATCCGGTCTGATTTGTCCGTATGACGTTCTCCACCACGGGTAACTCTCTATCTCTCTTTCTCTCTTTCTCTCTTTCGCTCGTCGTCACCACCACTGGTCAACTATCTCTCTCTCTTCGCGCACTCTCTGTTTATCTCTCTCTCTCTCTGTATTTTGAAATTCATTTTTGTTTGTTCTTGGTACAGTTAGGTGAAGGCATAGAAGCTTGATGGAGGAGGAGGTACGGCTACGTCGGAGCTTGATAGAGATGGCGGCGAGGGAGTGGCGGCTTAGATTTTTTTTTTTTTTAACGTCTGATTAATTATGCTATTACAACGATGAGAATATTACATAGGCGATTTTACAGCCAACAATTCTACCATCTTGTGAGAATACACGCCTGATTGCATCACTCCGAGCCGTCCTATGAGATCCATGTTCGATGGCACGTCATGCACCAAGCGGCTTAGATTTAGGTTTTAGATTTAATTAATTTTTGGTTAATTAGGTTTTGGGTCATTAAGCTTCAGATTTAATTAGATTTTTGGTTTAATGAGTAACTGGTTCAGAAGCTGGGTTTATTTGTAAACCTTAGGTTAATTATAGTTTGGTTTAATGTTTGTAATTAGTTTTTGGTTTAATGTGTTCTTTATTGTATACTGATTTTAATCAATAAATAAATAAAATTTAATTTTATTTATGAATTAACTTGAAATTCTAGTTTTAATTATTTTATTTTAATTATCTATTGTTAATTAATTATAATTTAATAAATTAATTTAATATTTTTTAACTATTTTATTTTTAATTATAGCGTTATCATTAAGAATTATGTTATTGCACACGAAAAACGCCATAAGAAATCATATAGTAACAAAATTATGATGTTATTAAAAGGATTTAAAATAGCAAATCATAAATGCTATAATATTTCTAATTTTTTGTAGCACGCGAAATTCGCTATGATATAAGGGAGGTCTACCATAGCTGCGGCTGTCACGGCGTTCTTCGAAACGCTATAAAAACTCTATAGTAACGTTTTTCGGGTGCTATCAATACCAATATTTCTTGTAGTGAGAGCCAGAAATCTTTGTGACGTAGTTTGTGGTGATCAAGTAACCTCCGTTGTTACTTTTCTTCCTTATGGCAATAGCCATACATTCTTCCTTATGGCAATAGCCATACACTCGGGAGTTATGAATACAATACTCAAACCACTCCTACCATTCCTCCCTTCGTTAGCAACTTCCAAATCACACGCTACTTTGAAGTGTATTTTCTTCTCTGACCTAAAACCAAAAACTCCTGCGCCTTGTTTCTTTGCTTCTTCCACTATCATCTTCCATTTCTCCTCTGCGGTTTCAACAAACACTATCTCCGTCTTCACCTGAAAATAAGGAAAAAACACGTATGTGAAAGGGAGCTTTGAATCAATCAGTTCCTCTGATTTGTAATTAAATGATTACATTAGGTTTATTAAGCTGACAAAAATTCTTCAATGAACTTGTTCATGAGCCCTTGAGTTTCTCTTTCTCTGTGTCTCATCTGTAGCTATTTAACATAATAATTATGTAGTTAACATAGATTAAGCAATATCAAGCGTGCAACCCCACGCCTGTCCAGTCCTATTATCTTCTAGGTTGTGGCTGGCATTCAGTCTTAAATAGTATAGGGCTGAGTCAACTACAAAATTTTGAAGTCAAGTAAAAAGACAAATAAAAAATAAAAGGTAAAACGAATTTAGGCCTGTGTTGTTCACTAATTAACACATCTAACTCAACTATCAAAAAAACTAGGTTCACAGTGATGATGCGTTATGATGTTTTATAGATGGGATTTTGTCATTTTTTTGTTTGGGGTTTAACTGAAAACCCGATAGAATTGACTTGATATACGAATGAGTGAAAATTCATATGCTTTGAAATATTCATATATTATTTTAGTAATGATTTTTTCGAATATTTGTGTCATTAGTGCTTTTATGTCCAGGATGGGTGATTTATTATGTTGTCATTGTCTAATTTGTAGGTTGGTAGTATATTATTGTTAAATAGTGAATTAGCATTTTTAAATTCTTCTTAAAGATTTTATTCAATTATACAAAGAAATATAGTTTAATGGATTGAAGAGAGAAAGATGAAACGTGTTTATTAAGGGGTTGTGTGGAATTTTGAGAGATTAATCTTTATTAATGAGTAAAGACCTGTTTTTATTTACAAATAAGATTGTTTAACAAATTCATATGTGTTCGTATTTCTACATTTTTTTACGATTTAATTGGATCTTAATGTTATTAGTGAGTTAATAACCATATGTAGCTAAACATAGGTATTTGTTAATATACAACTATAATATGAGAACGAAGAGAAAATAATTTTGTTATTCGAAAAGAAATATAGTTTGTTGTTTTCAATGTGCCATGACATGTTTTGAAAATATATAACTGTAGTTTAATAATGCTAATGCTTCGTATAATTATATATGTGTATGACTAAGATAGTTATTTTTTTGTATTTGTCAAAAATATTTTGTGGTAGTTTAACAATGGGAATGGTGGATTAAAAAGTTTAGTCGTATAGGACTTATATTCGAACACAATGAAAATGTAGTTGTTGGGTTTTAAATGATTGGACTTGAAATTTGATGAGTCTTGAGTCTCAATTTAGATCTGAAACTGGATTGTTTACTCGCCATTTTTGTTTCTCCTTGTCATCTTCAGCAGTGTGACAAGCTCTTATGATTTTTGGTCTGATTGCGTTTTTAGTGTGTCATTTTGTGAAATTATGGTTTTTCAATAGCAACATGGAAGAGAGATTTGCTCACCTCAGTTAAGGCTGTCTCCACCGCATTCCTTACTCAGTGAACCTATGTTGATTCAGTGTTCTCGGAACCTGCAATAAGAAGGTTTGAATTTGTTGTATGACTTTGTTTCTATTATTATTAGTTTCGTTTACTAAAACTCATACTGAATGATTTGAGGTTCTATATTTAATTTGGTTGGTATGGCTTATGTTTACTTTAACATGACAGAGAGACTCGAAGGCTGCATGACGGACGCTGGTGACACTAGTTTTGGGAATTGGAGAAGCAGAGAGAAACATTTTCTAGAAAGTGGT